GAGACTTCACTATGCTCCGAATATTTTTTTCAAAAAAAAAACCCCCCAAATTTCTAATTTTAGATTTCGGACATTTCGCCAAGTTTCGGTTTCGCCGGGTTTCGGACATTTCGTCAATTTCGGAAGTTTCGGAAGTTTCGGATTTATTTCGCCTTTGGGTGAGTTTCGGTTTCGCCTTTCAGATTTTGAAAATGGATTTCGCCCGAAACGCTATACTGCATAGCTTGTGCATTAATTCGAAGTATCTATATTATCTTACGTTTTTATTTTGCCTTTGGAAAATACGGATGTTTACTCAAATTTTTTATCCCAACCTTGCTCGTCTTTCATTAACTTGCTGTCAAGGGGTTAGTCTATAACCGAAGTTATAGATTTTTAGCTCTAGGTTATTTGACAGTATCAATACGTTTCTTTATTTTCCTTTATTAACACTTTTATCGTTCGCTACTATTTCACACAGAAATATAACACACTTTCGTTTCAACGTAATACTTTCTGGGACATTTTAATAAACACATATGACGTAATTTATTTACCAGAATTAAACAGACTTGCCTAAACTATATCCTTAACCTAACTCTAAACTAACCCTAACTTAGGCCGAATGATTGTCATGTGATATTGTGATGATCACTGGGTTAAATCTTTCCTACTTTCTCAATGCAAAAAAGATCTTGTATATCTCTTTATTTGAATATTGATTTTATATGATTACTATCGTTACATTCATTAATATCGAATGTTGATCTGTCGTTAATTATTGTCCACGTTATCATACCCTTCCACCCATTCTAGAACCAAGTATAGGGGTTGACTGAAGAACTTACTAAATTTTTCAATCTATATTTATAATTTCATCTGGTATTATGCCTCTGGCCTAAATTATAAATTGCAGGCTGCGCAGGATTAGAAAGCCAATCATAAGGCATGATAAAAGACCCAAATTTTTTTAGATCGTGTTTATTTTATTTATGTTTGTTTAAATTATCCCCCCTCCCTCGTCTAAAAAAAATAAAAAAGTTGACGTTAACCAACTAATTAACTTTAAACGGCCTTAATATAAATTTTATAATTTTGGCCGGGAATTATTTTTTTAATTTTTTATTCTAAAAAAGGAAATTTTTAGAAAACAGGCCAGGTCCATGGTAAAATTATGCTGGGATTATTTTTTACTTAATAGGTGGCCGTGGTTTTATTAGTAAAATTTTGAGTAATTTTAGCATGTTTTTTTTGTAAATTATGCTAGCCAATCATAATCGAGTATCTGCCGCGCGGTTCCTAGGATATATGGAGCCTTTGCAGTAGAAAGGGCGGAAACTCCAATATATATAATTTTGAGATAATTAAGTTTGAAAGTTTGTTTTGTTCGGTAAATCAAAAATACTTTGATTTGATTGGTTGAAAGTATCGGGTGATCTCGTGACGTTCGAAGACAGACGATTATTTCGTGCAACTTTTCGCATTATCTCGATTTTTTATTATGCTAATCGATTTCCCTTTATAATCGAAAAATATAGCCCTTACCAATGTTAATCTAAATTTTGTAAAAACTCAAAATCATTTCTGGGGTAGTTTCCGCCCTTTCTACTGCAAAGACTCCATATCATACAGAATTTACTGCGGGCTGCGCATTAAAATACTGCGTAACATGTGCAGCGGCCCATCATATCAATATAATTTTAAGACTTTGGAATTCACATCAGAATGATATAACTTCTATAGTACTTCTAAATTTACTGAGATTTTAAGATTATAAATGATTTATATAAGTTTTATGATCTAACATTTGATTTTTTTTGTTTAAAGACATTTATTTAAATCAATTAAAACTTGATTTAAATAAATATTTTTTAATTTTAAATTAAGAGCTTTTGCGATTACTAACTTACAACTAATTAAAATTTTATTGAAAGGTAAATCTGGATTCGAAAGTATTAGGTTGATTTCTAATCTATCTACAGCACGTATCTCGAATTTGGAAATTTTACCTCTTAGCCTTTTTGTTAGTCACTAAATATAAGCAAATTAACAATCTACGTATTTTTGTTATTAAAAACAAGGTTTGATCATATGATTTACTAAATATAACAACACACAATATATGCGTGATTTAGCTCCAGCCATAACTTGAATTGGACATGATAGTATATATCATTTCAATCGGGTGAGATTCGAGTATCAAAAAAGTTGGGTACGGATTTAATTTTATAGTTACTTTATGATGAGGGATGAAAACTCCTCTTTTCATTTATCAAATGAGAAAGCTTGTGCTTCTATACATTTTATGACCCAACAGATCTGACCTGCTAGAGGCTTAGTCTGTCAGCCTCACATTGCCTCTAAACAAAATCATAACATTATCTCACGTCAAGGCAAAGACCTCATATATTGAGGGAAAAAAAACATAATAAGGTTATAAATAAAATTTAATATTTACTATGCAAATTCATTTCTTAAAATTGAAGAAAATTATTTTCCTTTCATTTCTTCAATTTGTGACAGCCTCTATTATAGATGAATCTTATTCATCTCAACAAGATATATATGATGCTTTACTTACCACATTATTTCCGATCGCTTTCGTCATTTTATTTAATGTCAAAAATGACTCCGGACTTATTAAAAAAAAGTTATTGCCATTACTAGATGATTTATTATATAATATTGTAACTTGGCTAATTCCGTTAATAGTTTCTTTTGCATATGATGACAAGTTAATGATGATATTTTCATTTGTAAACATGTGTTTACATGTATTCTGTGCTGGATTCGCAATATTTCAACATAAAACAATTAAAGATTCACAAGGAAAGGATTATTATTTATTAATTATTTTATTTTTAATATTTTTTCCAGTAGTAGTTATTCCTATAATTTGGATTATTATGATTAATAGACTTGCTATTGATTCAACTAATTTAGTATTTCTTGTATTATTTTCGTCTTTGTTAGTTCTCGTTGTTTTATTTATTATATTAATTTACATATTTAAATATAGTGAGAGATATCAAAAGCAGGCTTTGTTATTAGGTCGTATACTACTTTTTATATTATTTTATGTACCTAATATTTTACAGACAATATTTATTTTGTTAAAATGGCCAATTAATTTTTACTTTACCAAAGCTTGTGTATTTATATTAATTCTTTCTTTGACAAGAAATGTATCTTATTATACTCATCATGTGCATGATGATTTTCTGGCTACTTCAACTGCAATAATTCAATACAAATTGCGTGATGCACTAGACAAAGCAAGATTATATAAGAGTCAAGATAAGAATCAGAATGGTGATGATAAAAATATTGAGATGAAGCAATTAATAGATAAAATGCAAAAAGAAATAGATGAAATGAAAAAAAAATTGAGTTATGAAAATCAAAATGAAGTTTAAATTATTATGGGAATAGTACTTTTGAGTAATATTTTTTAGCATGTAAAATTAAATATTAATACTATTCAATAAACATTTATTCCTAGAACAGTATATTTAATTTTTAATGATTCAAAATTTATAAAACTAAATTTAATGGGGTTTTAAAATTAGTGGTTCGGCGTAATGATGCCTGACGAATGACGAAACTTTCGTCAGTGACAAATGACGAACCATTTCGTCAGGCAACTTCGAGTTGACGAAATGACGAATGACGAAACTAACGACGAATGACGAAACTCATGACG